GGGGGGGGGGGGGGTAAGTCTCCAATGCACCCACCCCACCCTCCAGCAGGGGGTAAAAACCCCCAAACCAAACTCCCTTTGCTCCCTTTCTCCTCTCCCATTCTGAGAACAGCAACAGGCTAAAAGGCAGGCAGGCCTGTTTTGAAACTTCTTCATCTGACCTCACATGCAATGAGGGTTCAGATTTTCACCCAGGCAGTCATTTTTGAAGCTGTCTGCAGCCATGCACTTGTTTGGTCATGGTTTTAAACTGCTTTCTATGGCCAAATTGGGTGAAAATTGTCATGTCTGTCTGTACCCCTAGTTTATTCAGGTATCTCCATGATGCAGTGCAGGCAACAATGCATGTACCTATCCATTCTTTTGGTTTCATGATTTGGAGCAGGGATTTGAACCTGTTTCTTCCACATCAGGCTATAGAGGTGATGGTATCTTTCTCTCTTTCCCTGACATCATCAAAGCAAATACATTTCTGTGTTTTCTTATGAAAAACGGGGTGTCATCTTCCCTCTCCCCAAAGTTCAGAACATCTCTAATCTACATAAACGGATCCATGAGTCAGTGGAGTGTTACACGAAAACCTTAATGGACACAAAGGGGATTTGAATAGGTGTGGAGAGGTGAATGGCTTAGTTTCCTTACCACCTTTACCCCTCCTTTTAGGGCACTGGTTTGAGTGTCGTGTACTTCATTAGGGAGCAAACATGCTTTTTCTTATGTTTCTTAACTGATAGGTATTCTTGTTTCTGAAAACCTTCAACAAATAACTTCTTTTGTCAAGAGTCTTAGTTGAAATAAATGTGGCATCTGATTGGAAGTGCTTTAATTTCTTATCTTCTTGAAAAGGTCATTCAGTCCATAGAGTAAATTCTCAATATCCTAATGCTACTGAGCCAGCAACTATTGCAAGCTTTACATTCAAATATTAGCAATAATAAAGGCAGCAAAATGGGCCACAAAATTAGCCACAGAATGGAGCTGTGGGAAGGAGCTGAATACAGTAGAAACTGATACATAGTACATTTCATCTGGATAAGAGTTTATAAAGAGTAAGACATCTCTGGGTAGGTTGTCAGCAGTTGAAACTGAATCTATTACATATGCATCTTAAAACATGGGTCTTTAGTCCATGAGCAAAAATAGGCAGCTCTTTTAACTTAAAACCTGGGGCAGATCCAGAGATTTCTATTGTCCAGACAATGAGGAGGGGTGGTGAAATTACTGTGGGAATGTGGGTCACTAAAATACATTAAAAACAACCTCGTGTATAAGAAACAACAGAGTGTTTTAACAAAGTCCGTTTAACAGTCCTAGTATGAATTCAAGGTTCTGATGTCATTTTTGTATTGACAATTCTTTTTTTTTCTTTTACTTTTGGTTTCAGAGGAAGAATTTGTCCCTTTACTTCAGCATTGGTTTATTGACATTCTGGGGGACCACGCTGCTGGGTGCCCGCTTGTACTGGATGGGCAACAAGCCGCCAAGCTTTTCCAACTCTGACAACCCAGCAGCTGACTCAGACAGTTTTCTCACACGCACTCTGACCTTTTTTTACTTGCCGACCAAGAACCTCTGGCTGTTGCTGTGCCCAGACACCCTCAGCTTTGATTGGTCCATGGATGCTGTGCCTCTTCTTAAAACAGTCAGTGACTGGAGGAATCTACACACTGTGGCCTTCTATGCTGGACTCCTCCTTCTTGCCTACTCTAGCTTGAAGAGTTCCAGCAGTGAGAGAGAATGCAATGGGAAAGCTGTAATGAATGGCAAACAGAATACTAATGGGCATAGCTGCCACTCAGACATGGAATATAGGAGCTTGGAGCAGAAGTCCAGCTTTGCATCAAAAGAAGAGAATGGCATAAAAAAACATGTAATCCAGAGACTGCAACTTCCTTCAACTGAGAACATTGTAGTTCTGTCTCTTTCTCTGTTAATAGTGCCCTTTGTTCCAGCCACAAACCTATTTTTCTATGTAGGCTTTGTAATAGCAGAGCGTGTGCTGTATATTCCTAGTATGGGCTTCTGCCTGCTGATTACAGTGGGTGTCAGGGCCCTTTATGTCAAAGCCCAAAAGCGCTTTCTGAAGAACTTGATTTTTTATGCCACTGCTTCATTAATTGTTTTCTATGGACTCAAGACTGTTGTCAGAAATGGGGACTGGCAGAATGAGGAGATGCTGTATAGGTCAGGGATAAAAGTAAACCCAGCCAAAGGTAATACTTTCTATGGTGAATGTTTTATTCCTGCCTCTGTCTCTCTTCTATTTTTAGGTTTATCAACTATGTTTTAAAAAGATTCATTTCAGAACTGTATATTTAGGTGCAGTAGTATGCATGTGAGTGCAGTGAAAAGAAGGCAAAACTGGAAAACCTGTTGATTAGGTATTCAGGTTTGGCCTTGGCATACAGAAAATGGGAATGTGAGGTAAGATTTTTTTTTTTTTTTTTTAAGTACTCTGGAATCAAATGCTTATCATTAGCATTATATAAACTAGTGACCACCAACCAGTCTATCCTGATCAACTGGTCAGTTGGTGAGCCCCGTCACCCTTCCACCCCCGACTGAGATCGACTTCAGAGTTTCTGTGATTGGGAGCAGCTGGGATGCAGGCGGGACATAGGAGCAGCAGGATGCATGTAGCTGAGCTGAGCCACACCCCCTGTCGTCAGAGCTGGGCCGGGTGAGTGAGATGATCTGCCTCCACACCCCACTGGGTGAGTGGGGCCCCAGCCAGTGGGGGTTGGAAGGTTGGAGCCCAGGCCACTCATCCAGGTGTTTGGGGGGCTCCTGTCTACGCACGCACCCCAGCAGAGTCCAAAGGGACACATGCTCCCCCAATCTGTGTGCAGGGTGAGGCGGTTGCTACTGCACACTGGGCTTTGTGCCCTGAGCCCCACTGCAGCTGAGGACACAAAGCCCACAGTGCAAAACTAACCATGAAGTTACAGCTGCCTTGCCCTGCACACAGATTGGGGGGGCACATCCCCCCCCCAACACAGCAGTGTGGGCGGCTGCAGCAGGGGTGGGATGGAGCCATGAGCAGCTTGTCCATGGGGTGCGGGAGGGGGGGGAGGCATGTACCCAGGAGGGCACGGGGGCACGTGCCCCTGGATCTGCACGTGGGGTAGGGTGGGCTGCAGCTGTGGGCTGGGGCTGGGCTCTTCTTAGCGGGGGGGGCAGGGCTGGCCCACCGGGAAAAGCCCGGCGTGCAGCGGTGCTGGGAGCAGTGCCACGGTGGTGGTGGTGGTGGGGGGGTGCTGCAGCCATCCAGAAATTCACTGTAGCACCCCCAGGCTCCCCTTCCAGTGCTGCCACCACCCACCCTGAGTGCAGCACAACCCAGCCTTCACCAGGAACATCACAGCACAGCCTTCCCCTCCTGACTGCTGAGGGCACGGGAGCAGTGTGCCCAGGATCTGCACGGGGTGGGGTGGCTGCTGCTGCAAGCTGGGAGGTTGCACTGTGCTGCTCTGCGTTGGGCAGCAGCACTGGGAGGTGAGGTTTGGGGGCCTGCAGCACCCCCTGTAGCTCCGCTTCAGGCGCCGCTGCCGGCCAGGCTCTTCTCAGTGGCCCAGCGCTCCAGCCCACAGCTGCAGCCTGCCCCACCCTGCTCTGCATGCAGATCTGGGAGCACATGCCCCCCCATGCCCTCCTGGGGTGCACGTCCCCCTCCCCACACCCCTCAGATGAGCTTCTCATGGCTCTGTCCTGCCCCTCCGCTGCTGCAGGGCCTGCCCCTGCCCCACTCCCTACCTCACCATCATTGGAGGGGTTGGGGGCGCAGATCGAGGTCCCAGCAGAGTTAGGGTGTGGCAGCCTCCATCTACTCCACTCTCCACCACGGCCCTTTCCAAAAGTGATCTGCTACTGAAAAAGGTTGGAGACCACTGATATGGACCTTAAGTGGTAATCTCTGTTCAGAGGGTGAAGTCTGTTTGCCTTCTCTGTGATAAAGCTTCTATTAGTTTTGACTGAATTTCTTGTTGGGTAGAACTACAAATGATGTAGCCACATAAAGTCAGGCTTGTAATAATTCAGTTTGAAAAATGACTGGAACCCATGTTGTATTGAAAACACTGTGGAACCAAATAAGCATAGCCACTTATATTAACATATTAATGCATAAATATCAGGGTTTTGTAACACCAGCCAAGTATCTTATTCAAAGGAAGTATCTACACTGAAGTGGATCAAAAGTGTGACTGCAGCTCACTTAAACATCCCAGAGTGGACTTTAAGCTGGCTAATTCTCTAGGTAGGTCATAAGTGTAGCTGCAGGATGGAAGAGGTTCATTGTGGCCCCCTGAGTAAATACCCATGCAGCTAGCCCAGGTCAGGGTGTTTGTTACCTGGCTATACTGCTACCAGTACCCAAGCTGTTAGTTTAAAGCTAGTGCAGCTTTAGCCCTGCTTTTTTATTACATTGTAGACCAGTGATTCCCACCCAGGGTGTGGGGGATGCTGGGATGCTGCCAGGTCCTTTGAAGGGTTCCATGAAGTATGAGAAGATAAATGAGATGTGATGAGATAAGCAGATAAGTGCAGGCTGCCCTGTTTCTGCCTGGATCCTTCTCTACCCCAACTGTCTGGCCTCTTTTCAAGGAGGTAAGTGCTGTAATATATAAATTCATGTTTGAAACTGGGTGTTACTCGATTCACAAAAGTTATCCAGGTTTGTCTTTAGTCCACTGAGGGATGTCTCAAGTCCAGAAAGGTTGATAGTCACTGGTGTAGGCATATTTGTAACTCTCTGCATCTGAGAAGTGATCTGTTTATTTATGTATTTAATTATGGAAACTAAATGCCATGTTAATATTTTCCACTTTATCCTAGGGATCTGTACTTAGAATGTTTAGTTACGTGATGTTGAATCAGGAATTGCTGTGATAAAACTGCTTTTGCTTAGACCATAATCATCCATATTCTAAATACTACAATGATAAAATGTAAATGCAAATGTTGCCATAAGTTAAAAGGAAGGGAGAGTAAAAGTAGTAGGTTTTGCTGGTAAAGCATCATGTAAAATAGTACTAAAGTTCCTAAATCTAATCTTATTAAACCTTTTTTCATATTTTTACAGCTCTAGGGTAAAATCTATAGTTATAAAAACCTGATGCTGAAAGTAAGTGACTGTGCTAAGTGTATCCCATTTTTTATTTATATTTTGCAAAAGAAGTATTTAGTGGTAGAGAATAAATGTGGCTGAGTGGGCTGATGGCATGCCAGAATGCTTACATACTGCAATGAGGTGTATTTGTTCACTGACAAGATAAGATGCGCAGCAAATATTGATGTACTTTTTACAGAAGAAAACATTTGTTAATTTGGCAAGATAACTTCTGTTGGTTTTATTTCCCATTATCACTTATATCCTTAACAGAGGCTTCCTAAACATCAGAGGTTGTGGAATAGCCATTTCTTTTCTAGGACCGCTGATGGAGTCCTCCTTACCATTCCTGGTGTTGTCCAACAATAAGTTTTTTGATGTAGGTGGTGACTAGAAATGGTGAAGTAAGCAGTCCACTCCCAGAAGACAATCTGCTTGGTGTCATCCTGCATTCATTCTGTTATTCCTGCATCTCACATATCAACTATATACACTATTGCTTATATATTGTTGCATTGGCTCATGTCTTGCAAGTCAACATCGCTTTTACAGACCTTAGCAGCCTTGAAGACAACATATCAGATGGTGATGTCATCTCAGAAATGGCATCCCATTATCCAAGCAATATTCATTATAGAGAATATTTCCTAAATTATCTTTGATTTTGCCTGTGTATACTCATTCAAATAATTTGGGAGAATTCTTCCAAGTTTGTTTTTCTGGTAGCAAAACTTACCCAGAGACACCTGAACAGACATTTGAATCCCGAGACCCCAAGGAGCAGTGCTAATGCTTAGCAGACAATGTTCCCCTGTGAAAACATCTTAGCATGCTCTGGAGATGAACGGCAGCAGTGTACAGAGCAGTCCTGACTAAGTGACCCAGATTGCTCAGGGTCACCCTGTTTCTCCTTGCTGCACAATATGAGAACTGGGAAAGGGGTAGTGCTGCTTGATTAGCTCGAGAAGTAGAATCCGGTGAGAGATACACTTTCTCCTGGAATGAAGGGGGAGAAGGAGAAAAGCCCTCTGGGAATTTGAAGGACTGTGCCCCGGCTTCTCTCTGAAGAGAACATGTACAGACATTTGCTGTCCCGGTAGTGATTAAACCATGGTTGTTTCCTGGTGACTTTTTTCCCTGAGTAGGCATTTTTGCTCTGGAATAAAAATCCTGAACATTTGTGGGCTTATGGTTTTTCCTAGGAGAGCAGTGATTTTCTTGGGAGAAACTGAATGTTTGTATGTCACCTTTGATTTTTAAAGTGCATTCAGTTTTTTCTTTTAACTTGAGCAATCCCAACTGGTTTTGGGATTGAGTGGCAATCCAAGGAATTAAGAAATCACGGCTCCAAACTCATTTCTATTAATTAAACAAGGATATCATAAAATAGGTTCTTTTCTGCCTGCCTTCTCATTTTGGGTTGTCTGTTTGTTTTTAAACCATTGATGCAAAATATGATATTCAGGTGAAAGAGATGGCTGTTTTACTGGTGACTTCCTGGCTATCCAGGAAGGTCGCTCTTCTTTTTCCCATCACTGTACCTCAATAGAAGGTGGGGTAGTTTTTTCACCTCATTAACTAATTAGCTTATATATAGCAGCGGTTTTGTAAACAGGAGCTTACTATGTCGTAAGTTGTGAAAGGAAGTTCACAGAGCAAAATATAGAATGGAGAGAGTGATTTGTGTATAAGAGGTGGGAAGAAAGGGTAAGATGGAGGAAGGGGAAGAGAACAATGCTGGGAAAAGCATACCAAGAAAGAACTCATAGGAGCAAAGTGGGTCACAAAAACTAATTCAAGTAATGGCATACAAATATAGCCCCTCTTTAAACGTGACCTATCCGTAGATGATTTCTTACTCTAATTTCCCATCTGAATCAGTTTTTTAACAGTTTGCTGCCTAAGAACAGCTAACCTGAGGTCAGCACTGGGATGTCCAGGAAGGTAAAAGAGTTTTGTTGCAGGCTTTTGTGTCTTTCTGGAGCTGATGTCAGAACAATTTGCATTCATTCTTTCATGTAGGAATCACGCGATGTAGACAATGTAGATAACAGAGGGGTACAGTAAGCAGGTGATGGCATGCAAAACATTGGTAGGGTTGCAGGT